CTTGTCCGATGGAAACACACGAATGGGCCGAATCTCACTTGGGAGACGGAGAGTGACATGATGGGTCGCTATCCGCATTTGTTTGTTGAGGTGTGATTCCGGGGACGGAATCATTCTAAGGTGGAGAGAATTGTAACGCCTGTGTTTCTGGGTTTACCATTGTTAGCAATGAAATAGTCTAGGTTAACCTTTGTAACCCGTTTTGAAATAATAGAAGTGTATTATTTGAGTATTATATGTTTTGTGCTTAATTGCTTAATTATGTGGTTTGATTAATTAAGAATAAAAATAAGCGTCAAAATTTATGTGTAAAATAAACTTGATATCTTTAGATAATTTTGTAGTAGTTGAAACAAGGTTTCCGAAGATATAAAGAATGCCGAAATCCGAGTTATAACGAAGAAGTTTTGACCTGTCAAAGTTTCGCGACAAAACCGGCACCGCTGAATGACGTAAAGAGTGAAATTTACGTTAGAGCGATATTTAGCCTTAGTGATCTAAATGAGAATTGAAGATCTCGTTGTTAGTATCAAAGCGATAAAAAGTTAGGCGAGAACGGACGTCAAACGAAGAAGTTATGAATTTATAACGAAATTTTCTGTCCCGGCCTATTAAAAATAAATAATAAAAATAAAGTCAAAATCAGTCGACAGAGTCTAAACGAAAGTTGTAGAGCGTAGTCTCACCTTCGCGTGGATATAAAGAACGTTGAAAACGGAGTTCGTATGAAGAATATATGAATTTCCGAAGTTTATTAAATAATTAATAATTAAATTTAATTATTAAATCCGGCCTTATCCGAAGGCGAGTCACCAGACTCATCCGGAGAACGCCCCGCATACAGCGAAGAGTGTCGACACTCGCACTCAAGGACTTCGGATGACGCATGCGCTTACGATTTCGGAGCAGCACGCCCCGCGTACTGCGAGGCATCAGCCTCCTATAAATAGGATGCGAGACTGCCGAGTTTATTTGCTATTTTTCTCCCTTGTCTCTCCCGTTTTGCATCGTTTTGCGTGCCAGAAACACCCCAAAGCCCCGGTAATATTCCCGAGTCCCGAAGCAAGTCCCGAGATCCCGAAGATCCCAAGAAGTGCGGTTTCCGAGCCGAAGCTTTGCCCACGAGAAGTTCGATTTTTGTAGAGATCTTCCATATCTGCTGAGGATTACTACTTCTATGAGTCGTAGTGTTGCCGATCATCTTCTGATCAAGTGAGTGTATACTACCTTTCATAAACACGATAATAATACAAGTATGATTTGAGTGTATTAAGTATATTGTTGTGTATATGTGTGAATGTGTTGTTACTTTCTTCTAACGCATAATTATGAAGTATTTTATACGAAATACGTGTTATGTGTATATTTTGTTGTTATGTGTGTGAATGTATATTCACTTTCTTCTATCTTATAGATTTGATTATTTCTCTATGAAATACGTATTATGTGTGTGTGCCTCATTTGTTATGTGGAAAATGTATTGATTGAGCATGCTATACAGGTTTTAAGAATATGTATAAAAATGTATGTTTTATCTACTAATATGTTGGGTAAAACATGGGTAGATAGTTGGTGTGTAATAAACAGATGAGAGGCCTCGATGTTGTTTCGATCCAGTCATCTAGCGGAATTTAGATGACGACCACGAACTTTTCTAGACAGTCCAGTGGAACGCTAGCAGGCTCATAACCTGTAGGTGTTAATGAATTTGGGTGTTCATTCGCTGTTTTCCATCCCCCTCATAGTTGCCTTACTTGACTTATATTGTTGAGGAACCCCCGAAGCATGTGTTGTCACCCCGATAAAATATTCTTAGACTAGGTCCCTTGTGTTAGTTATTTTAGGGACATAAAGTGAGAATAAGGGGAATGGGTAATTGGGTTATTGTTGGTTGATAATAATTAATTTAATTATTTATTGTGGGTTGAAAACCCTATATGCTCACCAGGCTCCCAAGCCTGACCCACTCAGTTTTATTTGTATTACAGGAAGTAGCTCAAGGGCGTAAGATGGATGAACCATCAAGTTGTTTTGTTTACAAGTCTGTATATGTATATATTTGTTGAATGACTTGTAATGTTATCGTTTATGCTTATTGGTCTGTATCGGAACATGACTCCCCGAGTTTTGATTATATAATGAAAATACATTTCTTTTATGAAATGCTTTGGTAAACATTGTTTTATCATGTTTTGTTTTTGGGAACAAATTCCGCAACTCTTTCAAATCAAAAGGATTTACTCTGAAATTATTTTAAAAGCATAAATGAAAATCGGTCTTTTCTGGCTGAGATTTTGGGGATGTCACATATACTTAATAAAAGTCTCTTGATAAAGAGAATGTACATTACTAAAAATGTGATGGTTAATATTGAAGGTTCGATGCAAATGTCTTTTTGTTTCATTATTAATTCCATTTTGTTGTGTTTCAGGCTTATGTATACACCACAAAGCAGAAAACCATAAGTTCAACAACTTGGGTGCATTTCTTGGGTAAGAAATTCTACATATAGCAACATAGTTTTCTTGAAAGTTGGAAAGTTGTTTTTAGGGTTAAATGCATGAATTAACATTGTAGTTTTGATGTTTTTTTTGTATAACATCCTACTTTTTGTTTCCATTCAGATACTCTTTTTAAGATTTTAGTTTTGAAATCAATTTGCTTCCAACTTGTGAACATGTAATCTTAATGTCTTAATAATGCAATGCATGCCAAATCTGTTGTAGTGCAATATGAAGAAATTAAAGTATGATGCTATAAAGGGTTGAAAACAACTTTGACTAGTAACTTCTATCTTTAAATGAAATATAGTAAGGATTCTATAAATAAATTACTGAAAGCAATTCAATTGTTGGTCAAATACGTAAGTATGTAGCTCTAATGGGAAATAAAATACATTACCCAAATTGGCAGCGGGAGTAAAGTACGTTGTTATTCTCTATAATTTTTTGTTTTTTACATTTCCTTTATTTTGTAATTAACTAATGTATTGAAATCTGGGATTTTGATTTTATTGCTGGTCTTTCATCCAAGGGTTTAGGAGCTATATCTTGTACAACGTAGGATAATACATTCAAATATATTGTATTTGTATGAATTGTATTGGTTTGTATTTAAGTTATTTTTATGAAATAAATTGAGTAAATGGAAAATACAATGCTATAACCAAAAACGTATATTGTAATGTTTATTTTTTGGTTGAATAATAATTTTTTTATAAATTTAATGTATTATTTTTTTATGCATTTTAAGCAGAAAAATCTGAATTTTTTTAGTTTTTTTACTAATTTTGTGACGGATCCCTAACGGAATATCCGTCACTAATAGGTCCGTAGGTATTCCGTAGGAAAAAATCAGTTTTTGTCAAACTTGAAATCTATCGTTAATTCGTAGGAAATCCATAGTTAAACTGTTCCGTAGCTATTCCGTAGGAAAAAAGTCAATTTTGATCAAACTTCACAACCGCCGGCAATCCGTAGGCATTCCGTAGCAATTCGTTTCCGTAGCTAATATGTAGTTATTATACCTACGAAATAGGCTGTAGTTAATCCGTAGCCAATCCATAGCAAATCCGTAGGTATAAATTTCCCACGGGCGTTTATGCTACAGGCCTTTTTCCGTAGCAAATCCGTAGGTATCGCCTTTTACCTATTGAATACCTATGGATTGTGCCATAGCTATTACCCCAGTTTTCTAGTAGTGTTATTAACCGAGACAATAAAACACAAGTATGACAAGAAGCATCCCATGCACCTAAGTTACCTCCCGATTGAGAACCATAAGGGTGAATACTTATGTGAAATTTGTGATGAGGATTTGAATCTTCATGCATCTTTCTATCATTGTCATGATTGTGCTCAATCTATACATACCGCTTGTGCTCCGTTAATACTTCAGAGTGAGACAGATACCTATACCGGGAATTATGGAGGTTCTATTCATTCTTTTGTGAAAATAAAGTTTGGAGGCATTCATAGGATTCAACATCACCCACACCCTCTTTCTTTTGCTTAATGTATTGTGTTGGATGGCCTATGTAGTATATGTGGTAACGGATTACAATACAATCTCATCTTTAAATGTCTCGAGTGTAAGTTTGTGATTCATGAATACTGTTGCAAGTGAGCATTTGAACAAGTTATGAAGCTTCTGATTCCTTTCTTGTACATCTCCCTCTTTTATATATACTAGCCGTTTACACGCGCAAAGCAGCGGGCGGAAAATAATTTGCTTCAGCAACTAATTTCTTTTTAGTGCACAATGATTAATTTAAATGGAAGTATATTGTCTTTTAGACGTTTAATGCAAAAATAAGAATTCATTTACTCTTATTTGTTCATTACAGCAGTCTACCTTTAATACAATTATTTTTTTGGCATTTAAAATTGTTTTAAATGGAAGTAAAAGTTTTTTAGAGGTTTAAATGCAAATAATAACAATTTAATTTTTATTTTTTATTCATACCGATGCATATTTTCATTATAACAATTTTTTACGCATTTAACCCTATTTTAAATGGAATTCTAATGCTTCTCCCACCATTCTCAAAGCTTTGTTCCATTCATAAATCATTTATAGATTCAGAATTTCTCAAGATAATATCCACTAACTATATTATATAATTCATATGCATAAGTTACCGAAAGCATTTTCAAATGCGTTGTCTAAAAGTTCAATGCAGCAAACCAAAGATGAACTTGAATAAGATGAATATGCCCTTAAAGCCCATTATAAAGTTAAATATTTAAGATACCGAATTAATCACATTAAAAAAACATTTAGCAAAAATTAATAACATATTGCATAATTACTATACTTACTTTACAGAATTTGATAACATTTTGCAAAATTGAAGTTTAGACAAACAAAAATCAAAAGTTTAACCAGTAGACACTAAACCAAAAGAAAACATCGATAACATACTAATACATTTATCTTTTAACAAAAGAAAGATAACATATTAATACATCTACACAAACAATTTTAAATGATCATGCCCTCCTAGATAAGGCATGCATTTCATGGCTGCAAGCACAAGATTTTTTTTTTTTTTTTCCATATTTCCACTGCATTAACAACATAATACAAACCCCATTCAGATTTTTTCTATTAAAAAGTTCACATAGGTTCTATGCCTGAAATAATAAAAGATGTTGACTAACATAGATTAAGGAATATCATCTTGGTACTTTAGAATAACAACCAACTTTTAAAGTAGGATTCTATAATAAACAAAGAAAAAGAAGTTGGTACTTATTTTAGAGTGCAATTATGGATATTTTAGAAATTACAGTTGGTTTCAATACATGTAATGGTGTATAAAACATTAAAAAAGCAACCATCTGTCAAATTGCAATAAGAACATTAAATTAGCAACCAACTTTTAAAGTATGATGTTAAATAAATTAGGAAATTGAAGTTGGATACTATTTTTAAGAAAAATAATGGATTTTTTCAAAAAAAAAAAATAACGTTGGTTTCTATACATGTCATTGTTAAGAAACTTTATAACATAAACCAACTTTCAATTTTCGAAATACAATTAAGAATATATGTTAATAGTCAATACCTACAATGAATATGCACCTACTTGCAAGTAGGTTTGGTGATCAACATGATGCTTTTATCCAACCCACCTACAGAAAATCAGAAAAGGAATCAATTAAAACTGTAATAAATAATGAAGAGATAAACTAAGAAGAATTGGGAGATTATACTTTAAAATAACAACCAGACTTTTCAAATACAATGCAATAATAAACAAAAATTGGGAGATTATATCAACAAAAAGTTTTCCAAGAAAATGCTAATTTTAGGATAACTTTTCTGGACATTTTTTTTATGATTCTGTTAGGTGACTTTGGGCAACCGTTGTGGTGAAATTTCTTTTTGCAGTCTTTAACACATGAAACATCATAAAAAAAAGCCTGATTTAAATCAATAAGCACATTTGTTGCTAAAAGAAAATGTAAATTGAAGAACATGCTTTCTATTCATGTTAAACTGCTACCAAATTCACATCTCACGGCTCTCAATGTCTAAGTCCATGAAAAGAAATGATCCGCCGCTTTATCTGTAAAAAAAAGTTGGAAGGACTTAACTACTATAGAAAGAAACAAAATACAAGAACTTTAAGAAAAGCTCACCATATAAATAGATTATGGGACATAAGATATAGCTATTCTTGTCCACATCAGAACTTATCCATACATGATATTAACATATATGAGCTCAAAGTCAAATCAATAATTAAATAAATAATCTTGTTTCGTTTTCCTAATGTTAGATGGGGATAGATAAATCCAAGTCAAACCAAACCCACAAAAATAACATAATTTCTCATATAAAGCCAAAGATAAAAAAGAGGGGAGGGGTTGCATACCCACAAGAAAAAAAATATCCAAGCTTGTAATTTTCTTATACGTGCCTAATAACAGAATTTCATATCAACCCAAAGTTTCCTGGAAAATCACCAAAAAAACAAAAATGGTAACAATATATAGTCAGAGGGAATTAGTCTCTTATAAGACATGTAAAACCAAAACTGATATTGTTATAAAACCTTTATAGAGTAAGGATAAAAGAAAATAAGCATATCTTAGAGTCTGATAGTGAATCTTTGTTTCCCACCAAAGCACAACCAGAAATTTGCGCTTCATCCCAATATAGGTTCTAAAAATGAAGAAAGAAATATAAAAACAATATTGTTTCATATACTTAAGCAGAAGTGGTGACAGAAAAGGTGATATGTGAACAATATAAGCAGAATAAAGATAAGGGTAACAATTATTGCTTTTACATTAACATCAATCCGTTGAATCAATCTGCACTCAAACCAATCATACAAACATATAAAATCATTTGAGCACATTGCAAGCAAAGATCCTCCATACATTCGCTCAGCTGAAAATGTATACTCTTCTTTTCCTGATTAATAAGACCATCCAAAAGAATTTTAAAAAAAAAAAAAAAAAAATGAATAGAAATGCAAGAAGAGGGGCAATTTCGTCATTGATCAAAATCATTAGGTATAGGGAGTGCACAAACCTAAAAAGGTTTTTTTTTTTTAAATCTTGCTCTCTCTAACACCATACTCACCATCTATTGACCAAACAAAGTCCAAAGCAAAACAAAAGGATCTATTTCTCCATGCTAAAGCTATATGGCGATTACTGGTGTCTTGGAATGAGCTTCACAAATCCTATGCCGACGATGATAGTCTCTGCAACTACTGAGGTCCGCTATGCATCCATCCACCAACCATGACACCGACACATCATCCCCACGTGTCTTCTTGGATGGTTCAAAAGATGTGGTTGAATTTGAACCCAATGTTATCATACCAAAGTCCATAGAGAAAGCCTTGAACACCATATTTTGATTATTTTCCATCACCTGCTGCAGCACATACACTCATAACCACCTGAAACTGCAAATCCATACACCCACAGCCAACAGTCTGCAACAAAACAAAAACAAATTAACTTAAATACACATCAAGATTCAAAAATAATGAAATTTATTTTATTTTGAGGGATTTCTGGTTTGTTTTAATATCAAGAAGAAGACATGGGGAGAGAATGAATGCTTTTCTGTTGCAGGTGTGCGCTAATGCTATATAAAAACGAACACATAGAACATGGTAGCAACTCATAAGAATGAAAATTGCAAAAGGAGAGAGAGGTATAAAGGACTTACAAAAACGAATTTTTTCTTGAAAATTGCTAATTTCACGATCACCACCTGACATGGATTTCCAACTCCAAATGGTCCCCTGCGCTTGGTTATGATTTTCAATTCAAAATCGGGAGTTGTTTGAAGATGATAGCGATGTTAGGGTTTATCATTTATCAAACACATATACACACACTGACGGAGGCTTGAAGTGAAAAATTGGGCTTCAGGAAGAAAGGTGAGGGCTTTCATCGTCGTTTTCATCAAAGACCAACTCCATTCTTCGTAATACCTTCTGTTATCACCTCTTCACTGATGGTGACGGTTAGGGTTGTGGAGATTGTTAGGGTTTGTCGTCGTAACAGAAAGTAGAAGAGGACAAGAGATGGTGGAGGTAACTTAAGGTCAGGGTTTCCAGTAAATGGTGTGTAACGAAGGGGCATGGTAACATGGGGATATCGGAGACCGAAGAGAGTAAGGAGAGAGATAGAAGAGATGCTGCTGGTACGATGGTAGTTTGGGAAGAAGGAGAAGCGTCGTAGCGGACAACTTAGGGTTTCCCGATGAAGACGACTGATTTAGGGTTTTAGTGAGTGATTGTCTAGGAATAAAAATTATTGTTTGATTCCCGAAGAATTAATTCCGTAAACGATTCATGTAGTTGTATTGTACAAAAATCATTTGGTATTGTACCTCTTAAATTTCAAAAAATGTGTAATATAATTAATAAGATAGTTAAGATAAGATAAGATGTGTAAGATGATGAGATAATAAATATAAATAATAAGATAGTTAAGATAATATAAGATGTTAAGATAAGATAAGATGTAGTTGTATTGTACAAAAAGCATTTGGTATTATACCTCTTAAATTTCAAGAAATATGTAATATGATTAATAAGATAGTTAAGATAAGATAAGATGTGTAAGATGATGAGATAATAAATATAAATAAATTAAATTAAACGTCTGCATCATCTGCATATTAAACTCTTGCTATCCATCTGTTCATCCCTGGTAAGTCAAATATCTATATCTATTTATTAGTAACTTAATCACACTAGTCTACCATTCATTTTCTTTATTGTTTATTATTTTTTAAATAAAAATTAAATACATTTGCGGATTAGGTTATATGTGCTGTGTAATCCTAATCCAATATATATACTATTTCGGATAATTAAGAGTATTGCGTCTTTTGCATGTAGTCTTTTAAAATTTCTGAATATTTTGAGGTAGAAGTATGTTTATTTAGTTAAATTGAATCATAAAATCATAATTGACCACCAGCACCGGCATGACAACCACTATCTCCAACATACACAATTTAATGTACATAACATATGTGAAGAAAACTCAGTTAATATCATTCAAATGATGCTTAACAACTACACATTTACATGTACAACATAATTAATTATACGAAACAAATTTTAATGAGAAAAAGTACGATTCAAACCACACTTAATGCATCATAACAAATAAATATTTTATTGTTGTACTGAATGTGGATACTTTGTTGATGCTAAATGTGAGTTTTAGAACGACTAACGCGCACCAGTATCCTACTCCTAAATCTACACATTTTGTCTCCACCCCGACTTGAAACTACATGAAGCTCACCCGAAACACATTCTTTCACTATATGAAAAACAATGTGGTTAACGATGCTCGTTGTCCTATGCGTGTCGAAAGTCATTATGAAGATGGATTTTCATTCTATTACCAACATTTGTGCAACACCTGGTTCGAAGCTTTCTAGGATTAGCCGGATATTACCGACGATTTATCCAAGGCTTTTCTTCGATAGCTGCTCCATTAACAGCTTTGACCCATAAAGGAGCTACGTATACATGGAGTGAGAAACACGATGAGGCGTTCGAGAAGCTAAAGAAGAAGTTATGTGAAGCACCGATACTTTCTCTACCCGATGGAGTTGAAGATTTCGCGGTTTATAGTGATGCATCTGGAGTCGGGTTGGGTTGTGTTCTGACCCAAAGAGAAAAGGTGATAGCATATGCATCTCGACAACTGAAGAGCACGAAAAGAACTACCCCACTCATGATCTGGAGTTGGCAGCGGTAGTATTTGCCTTAAAGATATGGAGGCATTACCTCTATGGCACGAAGTGTAAGCTCTTCACTGATCATAAGAGTCTCCAGTATCTCTTTAATCAGAAGGAGTTGAACATGAGGCAACGACGTTGGCTAGAGCTTCTCAAGGACTACGACTGTGAGATACTTTTACCACCCAGGTAAAGCAAATATTGTTGCTGATGCTCTCAGTCGGAAAGTCAATCTTGAAAGAAAAAGGCCAAGAGCGTTAAGAATTGAAGTTGCCTCGACGATTGTGGAAAGTATCAGGAAAGCTCAAGAAGAAGCCTTAGAAAAGAATGACCGAAAGGAAGAACGTTTGGGAAAAACGTTAGTGTTCGGTACAAACAGTCGAGGACTGAAGGTATTCCAAGATCGAATCTGGGTACCTAAGACGGGAGGGATAAGAGATCTTCTAATGGAAGAAGCACACAAGACCATGTACTCGATTCATCCCGGTAGCACTAAAATGTATAGGGACCTAAAACCCTACTACTGGTGGCCGACGATGAAGCTCGATGTTGCGAAGTATGTGGCCGAGTGCGTAACATGCGCGAGGGTTAAGGCACAACATCAGAAACCGTATGGGAGTTTAGAACCTTTACCTGTACCCATGGGTAAATGGGAAGACATCACCATGGATTTTGTGACTAAACTGCCCAGAACGAAGAACGGACACGACATGATTTGGGTAGTCGTGGATCGTTTCACCAAGAGTGCACACTTCATAGCCGCCAACGAGAAGTGGTCTATGGATAAGCTCGCAAACGCTTACGTGAAGGAAATTGTAAGACTTCACGGTGTCCCTCTTACGATTGTGTCAGATCGTGATAGTCGTTTCACGTCAAGGTTTTGGAGGAGTCTACAAGAGGAGTTGGGTACAAAGTTGTGTTTGAGTACTGCTTACCATCCGCAAACTGATGGTCAGAGTGAAAGAACGATTCAGACGTTGGAAGATATGTTGAGAGCATGTACCCTCGAATTCCAAGGGAATTGGGACGAGCACTTACCTCTAGTAGAATTTTCCTACAACAATAGTTTTCACTCGAGCATCAAGATGGCACCTTATCAGGCCTTGTATGGACAGAAGTGTCGTACGCCGTCTTGTTGGCTTGAAGCCGGAGAGAAGCAGTTTATGGGCTCCGAGATAGTCCATGAGACTGTTGAGAAATTGAAGGTGATTAGGGAAAAAAATGTTAGCAGCTCAGGATCGTCAAAAGAGCTATGCTGACAAGAAAAGACGACCGATAACCTTCGAAGTTGGGGATTCCGTTTTACTTAAAGTCTCACCGTGGAAGGGACTTATACGATTTGGGAAACGAGGAAAGTTGAGTCCAAGGTTTATTGGACCGTTCAAAGTTCTTCAGAAGATTGGGAACCAAGCTTACAAGCTGGAATTTCCCGAAGAACTCAATGGTATTCATAACACCTTCCATGTGTGTTATTTGAGGAAATTCATGGGAGATGTTCCCGACATAATTCCAATCTCGGAATTAAGGATGGATGAGAATAAAAGGTTGATCGAAGAGCCTGAGGCAATTATTGACCGTAAGACTAAGAAGTTACGACGCAAGATGGTCGACTTGGTGCTAGTCCGATGGAAACATTCGAATGGGCCGAATCTTACTTGGGAAACAGAGGATGACATGATGAGTCGCTATCCACATCTGTTTGCTGATGCATGATTCCGGGACGGAATCATCCTAAGAGGGAGAGAATTGTAACGCCCGGGTTTTCAGGGCTAAGCATTTTTGTCAATGTAATAGTCTAGGTCAACTATTGTAACTCTTTTTAAAGTAATAAATATGAAATATTTGAGTATTATGTGAATTATGTGTGTTTATGTGTTTATTATTTAATTATAAATGTATAATTAATAAAGAATAAAAATGAGCGTCAAAATTAAAGTGTGAGATAATCCCGATATCTCTACATAAATTTGTAGAATACGTCTCAAGGTTTCCGTACATATAAAGAATGCCGAAATCCGAGCTATAACGAAGAAGTTATGGCCCGCCGAAGTTTTACGGCAAAACCGGCACGGCACCGGGAGACGTAAATAGTGAATTTACAATAGAAGACTTTTTAGCCTTATCAATCTAAACAAAAGTCGTATAATATGTTAAACTAAGAACATCGATAAAAAGAACGCTCAAATCTGACTTCGTATGAAGAAGTTATGATTTTTCTAAGATTCGGCTTAGCAGTGCACGGCCTGAAACTCGAATTTTAGTTCGAGCGGTTTTTGGCTTACGCAACGTAAATGAGAGTTGAAGATCTCATTAATAGGAAATCAACGGTAAAAAGACAGACAAAAACAGAGTCCGTATGTAGAAGTTATTAATTTTACGCAGACGTTTAACAATATAATCTCCTTGTACTGTTAAATTTAAGATCGGTCGAGAATTAGCTGACGGTGTCAAAATGAAAGTTGTAGATCTTATTATTACCTACGCGTGGATATAAAGAACGTCAAAAACGGAGGTCGTATGTGAAAGTTACGGATTTTAGAAGTCGGAAGTGTGCTGTGCGAAAATGGGTGATGTGGCACAATCTTGGCCATTGCTTTCTCCCCAAGGCTTGCCACCAGATGGTGACATGTGACACCAAGTTCAGCCACATTTCACCCTATAAATACCACCTCTCCCTCCCTCATTTTCTTCACACCTTTCCCATTCTTTCTTCTCTTTACTCTCTCTCTCTCTCTCTAGAACCTCTCTCTAGCCCCGAAATCCCCCGAAAAGCCTAGGGTACCTCCCTAGCACGAGGCGGAAGCCCCGGAGTGCTCGAAGGCTCCGAGAAGAAGAGCTTTTCGGCTCGGGAACGCTGCTCCAAGCAAAGCCCGGTTTTCTATAAAACCCGCTGTAAGTGAGCTACGCCTACGCTATTTTTAATATAGCTTTTATTTAATTATATAACGTTATTAGGAACTTATAATAAATACTTGGGCTATTATTATGGGTTATATAAGTATTTTTTTGATGCTTATATAATAATAATAATAATAGCTAGACTATTAATTAGTCTCGACGAATAATAAACTAAACTCTAGTGGTAATAATACTAGGTTTCGTCGAAGAAAATTCTTTTTAAGAAGCGAAGCGCTGTCTGAGTTCGGAATCACCACCTTTTCAGGTGAGTGCATATTTACTTTCAACTTACACATAGATATGAAGTATTTAATATAAATTACGTGCTATTTGTGCATATTATCTGAATACTTGCTATCTATGCTGGATGAACGTTTTATACATGTTTTCAAAGATTTAAACTGTATATGTATTTTATATCTACAAAATGTGTTGGGTAAAACATGGGTAGATGTAATAGTTGCTGTGTAACAAAATAAAA